AAAGAATTTTAAAAATTTATTAGAAGCAGCTACATGCCAATAAATTAGGCAATCTAGAAGAAATGGACGCATTTCTGGAAAACCACAAACTACCAAAACTGGAACAGGAAGAAATAGAAAACCTGAAGAGGCCGATAACAAGGGAAGAAATTGAAGCAGTCATCCAAAACCTCCCAAGACACAAAAGTCCAGGGCCAGATGGCTTACCAGCGGAATTCTATCAAAGGTTTAAAGAAGAAACCATATTCCACTAAAGCTGTTTGGAAAGATAGAAAGAGATTGAGTCCTTCCAAACTCGTTCTATGAGGCCAGCATCACCCTAATTCCAAAACCAGACATAGCCCCATAGCCCCCACCAAAAAGGAGAATTATAGAACCATATCCCTGATGAACACAGATGCAAACATTCTCAATAAGATACTGGCCTATGGGATCCAACAATTCATTATGAAGATGATTCACCATGACCAAGTGGGATTTATCCCCGGGATGCAAGGCTGGTTCAACACTCGTAAAGCAATCTATGTGATTGATCATATCAGCAAGAGAAAAACAAGAGCCATATGAACCTCTCAATAGATGCAGAGAAAGCATTTGACAAAATACAGCATCCATTCCTGATCAAAAGTCTTCAGAGTGTAGGGATAGAAGGAACATTCCTCAGCATCTTCAAAGCCATCTAAGAAAAACCCACAGCAAATATCATTCTCAATGGGGAAACACTGGGAGCCTTTCCCCAAAGATCAGGAACAAGACATGGATATCCACTCTCACTACTGCTATTCAACATAGTACTAGAAGTGCTCACCTCAGTAATCTGGCAACAAAAAAAAATAAAAAGCATTCAAATTGGCAAAGAAGTCAAACTCTCTCTCTTCGCAGATGACATGATACTGTTCATAGAGAACCCAAAAGACTCCACCCCAAGATTGCTAGAACTCATTCAGCAATTTGGCAGTGTGGCAAGATACAAAATAAATGCCCAGAATCCAGTGACATTTCTATAGCAATGAGCCTGAAGAAAGAGAAATTAAGGAGTCAATCCCATTTACAATTGCACCCAAAAGCATAAGATACTTAGGAATAAACCTAACCAAACAGGTAAAGGATCTATACCCTAAAAACTACACACCACTTCTGAAAGAAGTTGAGGAAGACCCAAAGAGATGGAAAAATATGCTCTGCTCATGGATTGGAAGAAGTAATATCATGAAATTGTCAATGCTACCCAGGGCAATTTACATATTTAATGCAATCCCTGTCAAAATACCATGGACTTTCTTCAGATAGTAGTAGTAGTAACAAATCATCTTAAGATTTGTGTAGAATCAGAAAAGACCCTAATAGCCAGGGGAATACTGAAAAACAAAACCAGAGCTGGGGGCATCACAATGTCAGATTTCAGATTGTACTACAAAGCTATGGTCATTAAGACAGCGTGGTACTGGCACAAAAACAGACACATATGTCAATGGAACAGAATAGAGAATCCAGATTGGACCCTCAACTTTATGGTCAACTAATATTTCACAAAGCAGGAAAGACTATCCAATGGAAAAAGGATAGTCTCTTCAATAAATGGTGCTGGGAAAATTGGGCAGCCACATGCAGAAGAATGAAACTAGACCACTCTCTTGCACCATACACAAAGATAAACTCAAAATGGATGAAAGATCTAAATGTGAGACAAGATTCCATCAAAATCCTAGAGAAGAACACAGGCAACACCCTTTTTGAGCTTGGCCACAGCAAAGTCTTGCAAGATACATCCATGAAGGCTAGAGAAACAAAAGCAAAAATGAATTATTGGGACTTCATCAAGATCAAAACCTTCTGTACAGCAAAAGAAACAGTCAACAAAACTAAAAGTCAACCTACAGAATAGGAGAAGGTATTTGTAAATGACCTGTCCAATAAAGGGCTAGTATCCAAGATCTATAAAGAACTTATTAAACTCAGCAGCAAAAAACAAACAATCCAATCATGAAATGGGCCAAAGACATGATCAGAAATTTTACGTTGGAAGACATAGTCATGGACAACAAGCACATGAGAAAATGCTCTGCATCACTGGCCATCAGGGAAATACAAATCAAAACCACAATGAGATACCACCTCACACCAGTGAGAATGGGGAAAATTAACAAGACAAGAATCAAAAAATGTTGGAGAGGATGTGGAGAATGGGCAACCCTCTTTCACTTTCGGTGGGAATGTGAACTGGTGCTGTCACTCTGGAAAACTGTGTGGAGGTTCCTGAAAGAGTTAAAAATAGATCTGCCCTATGACCCAGCAATTGCAGTGCTGGGATTTACGCCAAAGATACAGATGCATTGAAACGCCAGGACACCTGCACCCCGATGTTTATAGCAGCAATGTCCACAATAGCCAAACTGTGGAAGGAGCCTCGGTCCATCGAGAGATGAATGGATAAAGAAGATGTGGTCTATGTATACAATGGAATATTACTCAGCCATTAGTAACAATAAATACCCACAATTTGCCTTGACTTGGAGGGACCTGCATGGTATTGATGCTGAGTGAAATAAGTCAATCGGAAAAGGAGAAACATTATATGGTCTCATTCATTTGGGGAATATAAAATTAGTGAAAGGGCATAAATGGAAAGGAGAGTAAATGAGTGAAAATATCAGTGAGGGTGACAAAACATGAAAGACACCTAATTCTGGGAAATGAACAAGGGGTAGTGGAAGGGTGGTGGGTGGGGGATTGGTTGACTGGGTGATGGGCAGTGAGTGGGGCACTTGGCGGGATGAGTCCTGGGTGTTATGTTATATGTTGGCAAATTGAACTCCAATGAAAAAAAAATTTAAAAAGGCCCATAGTTGACTCATTGTGGTAATAAAAAATCCTTAAAAATGTAGAATAATGTGTAGGTCCCATCTATACATGCAGATCTTCCACCAGCTGCTGACATTTTCCCCGTTCTTTTCAAAGGGAAGCCTGAACTGATTCACTAACAGATGGATTGAAGAGACAATGAAAATTTTTAAAAGTTTTCCTTCCTGGCAAACCAGGGAGAGAGAGAGTATATATATGTGTTTTGGAGAAAAAAAAAAACATCACAACCACACACAAAAAGGCTTTTGCAATTAATGAAGCTTCTCTGTGAAAACTTGCTTCAAATTCTATAGTCTAAACAAAGACTGGATGACTATAATGAAAAAATCTTACATGGAATGATAGAAACTGCTGAGTCTCTGGAACGTGTCCCTCAGTTTAAAATATCCATTTCTCTTTTTTTTATTTATTTACGATAGTCAGAGAGAGAGAGAGAGAGAGAGAGAGAGAGAGAGAGAGGCAGAGACACAGGCAGAGGGAGAAGCAGGCTCCATGCACCGGGAGCCTGACGTGGGATTCAATCCCGGGTCTCCAGGATCACGCCCTGGGCCAAAGGCAGGCGCCAAACCGCTGCGCCACCCAGGGATCCCCTATTTCTCTTTTTTAAAATATTTGTGTATGTGGAAAACTAATTCAAACTAATTAATGTGAGCACAAGGATACCTAATGCTAATGAATGCCTATTTTGGATCATTTTTAAATGGATGTGCAAAATGAAATGCTTTCAAACTTCTCCTCTTCAGCAAAGGATCAGTGAACAGAAAAGAACTGTTTCCAAGATCAAATCCAAAATGGGTCAAGTGAAATTTTGGAAAAGAAAGACTCTCTGCATGATAATATATCATGGAATTCCTTTCTCTGTCCTTTTCAAATGCATATAAATATTTTTAATGGCTAAATAAACCTTTAGACAGTCTCAAAACTCTGGAATATTTCCACAAGGAGGTGAGATCCTTCTCTTTGAAATGTAATCACCAAGGAAAGTAATGCTGAATCTCCTGATTTCCGGGGAGGAGATGGGCATAATTTCAGCTGTCACTTGACTCCAAATTGCAAAATCTACTTTATTTATTGAATGGATTGTGTCCATGTAGTTATATAAAAGAGTGAGATTTCTTTTTGGTCTCTTGAACAGATTGCTTATCCATGAATGTGCCTCTTCACATTTTGGTTTAATGCTTATTCAATAATAAAATTGTTTATCTTTTAAAAAATAAAAAATAAAATTTATTTTAGAGGGAGAGAGAAATGGGCAAGGCAGAAGAGGGAGAGAGAGTCTTAAGCAGACTCTGTGTTGAGCGGGATCCTGACATGGGGCTCTATGCCACAACCCTGAGAGCATGACCCCAGCTAAAGCCGAGAGTTGATCACCCAACCTACTATGCCAACCAAGTGCCCCCCAATTCAGTTTTTGTCAAATATACTTTCACTGCTGTGGGGATTGCTACTGTTAAAGCTCCCACCCCCAGTATTAGAACTGACTGTTGGAGCTTGAAAATATGAAGCTTATACCCCTTAACCTCTCCAGACTCACCTTTCCTACTCTTCCCTGTAAGATATACATATGAATGTTATTTGCCAAGAAAAAACCCTCCACTTATAAAGATCCCTGTGAAGCTGTTTTCTCCAGGAATTATATCTTAAAGATAATCAGGGGTGGCATTGCCCTTATATGTTATGTATAATGTTAAATAACATAAATTACCTCTTGCTCAGCACAAACCAAAATACCTGAAAAATCTATCCCGGCTTTATTACTATATGAATGCTGGGTCTTGAATAAGTCATTTAAGTACTTTTAGCATCAATTTCTTCATTTAGAATATTTAATATGTTGAAGATGGGGTTATCTCTATTCTTCATCCCAGCTCTAAAAAGGTATGACTCTGATGCTATTATATAACCCTACAGAAAAGAGTAGTCTGATTATTATACATTCAGGCTGTTTCCAGATGCAAGTTACTAGTCTGAATATTTACGTTAGGGGTTATCAGAATTCACTGACTTAAAGAGCTTTAGAGTTGGGAAAGGATAAGATAACTCAGCTTTTACCTATCAATTGTAACATATCCATGACATCATATATATTCAGCTAAAGGAAAATAACAGAAAGCCAATATTAAGATTTTAAAGAATACCTCAGGTGCTACAAAGTTTGCAGTGTAGCATGGAGTTAAGAGAAGTCCATTTTCTCCTCGAAGTTGTTTTGCAAACCCAAAATCACAGATTCTAATGGAGTCTGCATTGGCTGATTCATCCATATATAAGATATTACTAGGTTTAAGATCACGATGAACAACCTTAAACACAAAAGAAAAAAATAAATTTCTATAGTGAACTAAACATCTATGAAATAAAACATTTTAAGTTAAAATAACTCCAGGAGAAGGAACTTTCTAAATCATAAAATTTTAAAAATGACACTTTCTCCAACCTTGATAGCCTTGACAGCCTGAAGTGTACAGAAGAAATGATCTCTGTCCAATAAATGTCCCAGTTTCCATTCAAGCCATCAATTTTTTAAATCATTTCCACTCTCAGAATATCAAAACTTAATTCTCAGTTCCATTTCTGGAAATAATGGACTAAGACCCTACTCAACACTCTCCTCTCCACAGTAAACAGCTCTAAAACTTGAATACAATTAAAAAATCAACTACCTGAAGGTACTGGAGAATAAACAGAGGCAGAAAGACTCTGATGGGAAGTATTCACTTTGTTGAAGGAAAGAACATAGGGAGCTATAAGTACGTTTCCTATATCTGTGGCTCTTAGCCTAGGGTTAAGTGCAATTCCTATGTCACACAGAGATGGTGAAAGCACATATGGGAAAGCCCACAGTCTTTCTGGTTGGGAGGAATGGAAAAGAGATGCTAGGAAACAGTGAATGCTTGGGAGGAAGTCTGTAAGGAATAGAGCTACAACGGACCCTTGAATCACAAATGTATAGAAGAGGCTCAATGTAAATCATACAAAGACAAAAGATACAAAAACCAGAGATGCTGCTCAAAAAGGAGAGTTTTCAGGGCAAACCCTGACCTGAAAATTATCCACCAAAACAAAAGAATCATTGAAGAAAAAATAACAATACAAAAAACTTCCGTAATTTAATATTCAAATGTGCAGTATATAATCCGAAATTATCTGATATACAAAGAACTGAGAAAATGGAACAAAGTTTCAAGAAAAGAGAAAATAAATCAATCTCAACCCCATGATGAACCGCATTGGACCTAACAGACAAGGATTTTAAAATGGTTATTATTACAAGTGATGAAGGTGCTAATTAATGTCATGGTGGTAATCATATTGCAATACATAAATGTACCAAATCAACACATTATACATCTTAAACTTACATAATGTTGCATGCCAATTATATCTCAATGAAAAGGTATGATTCAAAATTCATAAAACAAATAAATATAAAATAAATATTAAAAATAAAGTGGCTATTATAACTATATTAATGAAGTAAAACACAGCCATGTTTTCAATGCATGAAACTCTCAGAAGAAGGACCCTTGGATGGCTCAGTGGTTGAGCAGCTGCCGTCAGCTCGGGTCCTGATCCCAGGTCTGGGGATCGACTCCCAAATCGGGCCCCCTACAGGGAGCCCACTTTTACTTCTGTCTATGTCTCTGCTTCCCTCTCTGTGTCTCTCATGAATAAATAAATAAAATCTTTAGGGAAAAAAGAAACTCTCAGAAGAAAAACAGAAACAATTAAAACCAAATGAAATGCTAGAAATGGAAAATATTCTGAATTTCTCTATGTGATGATTTTGCTACTAATATTATCTACTTCATGTATTCTAGACCTATCTTTGATCAGCATTTTACTACACTAAACGTTTTTAAAAGACAAGGACCAAGTCTTACTCATGCTTGAATCTGCAACACTTTTTACAATGCCTGGCATGTAGAAATGCTCAATATGTCATTGGTTTATTTAATTGATGTAAGAATCTGAAGGTTTCTAAAATAATAAACAAAAAATAGTTATTTAACTTTTCTCAAAAATCCTGATCACCCTTTATTTTATAGTGTTGATGAAGACAATCAAGGATTAAACTATAGTAGAATTATTCCTTTAGCACTATGTAGTTTATATTTCAAAATATTGAAAATATTCTCTCTTAAACCACACAATAAGTACTGGCTTATTTTTCTTAATTTTAAGAAGGGCCCCTATTGAATTTTCACTGTGCTAGTTCTGAATTGTCCATTTTTTTAACTGTTTATACTTAAGTGAGTACATATATACTATTACAACTTATTCAAATTTAAATTTTTAAATTATTTGTGACTGTTTCCTTGTATAGCTGTATATAATAAAATTGACCTTTTTTCATAACTCAATTCATTTGCTTTCTTTATGAAGATATTGGAAGCAAAATAACAGGCCTGCTCATCCACCACAAATTTTAATATATTAATATTTCAAATGTTTAGAATCCAAATTTGTTACTGTATTTTGAAGAGGGGTTGGCAAGGTCAAGATATATAGTCCTCTGGACATATTTTCAAAGAAGACATAGATGGCCAACAGGCACATGTAAAGATGTTCAGTATCACTCATCATCAAGAAAATGCAAATCAACACAATGAGGTATCACCTTAAAACTACCAGAATGGTAGTGGTGAGTCCAACATAATGTATAGAGTTGTTGAATCACTGTTGTACACATGAAAACAATGTAACATTGAATGACACCTAAACCCCCCAAAAGATATAGAGTTCTTTTACTGCCAGAAATTTATATATAAGATACAGCATAATTTGAATAATACAACATTTCCCTGGACACTTCTTTTGACTTTTTAAGTTTAAGGTTAATAATTTCAAAGTCAAGGTTAGATACAATTAAATTCAAACCATTTTTTTAAATTAATATGCTTTTAAATCAGGGAAACAGGCAGAGTGAAGAGAATGAAGTATTACCCAATTTCCAATATCTAAACTTTTAATATATTATGAGTTTTATTAGAATATTCTTTATAGAAATATATGTTACAGCATGGCTGGGAACAGCTGAGGCAGCAGCTCAGGCAGCGGCTCCACGCAGAGGGGACTACCTGGCCCTGGGAGCGAGATTCCAGCAGCACAGGCCCCGGACCACAAGGCACCAGGGACACAGCCCAGGATTCGGCGCTCCCCTTGGGACAAGTGGAGGCCGGGAGGACACACGACAGTGAGGACGCTCCTGCTGCCCCTGCTCCGGGAGCATCCAGTTCCTTGCGAACGGGGAGACTGCGGTAGTTACCGTTGGAGCTGACTCCAGAGCTGGAGAGCTGGCCACAGCCACTGTTGTTGTTCCCTGGTGTCACCTTGTGCCTGGGACTGAGTAGGGCCACCAGAGAGCAGGGGCCTCACAGGATATACAGCTAGCATTGAACTGTGCACCTGGCAGAATCATCACAGCAGGCCTCTCCCCCAATAGACCAGCTGGAAGGACAGGGAAGAGCAAGTTCTTGACGAAGCAGCACTGGACAGCTACAGGGGAAGTCAAGGGACTTACAGTATACAGAATCAGAGGCTACCTCTCTTGTTTTTTGTTTGTTTCCCCCTTTTTTTCATCCCTTTTTCCTTCTTTTTCCAGTACAACTTGTTTTTAGCCACTCTGCACCAAGCAAAATGAAGAGAAGAAAGAATTCACCCAAAACAAACAGAAACAGTACTATCTCCCACAGAATTACAGAATTTGGATCACAATTCAATGTCAGAAAGCCAGTTCAGAAGAACAATTGTAAACCTACTGGTGGCTCTGGACAAAAGCACAAAGGATTCAAGAGACTTCATGACTGCAAAACTTAGATCAAATCAGGCCGAAATTAAAAATTAATTAAATGAGATACCATCCAAACTGGAGGTCCTAATGATGAGTCTTAAAAAGGTAGAAGATCGAGTGAGTGACATAGAAGCCAGGTTGATGGCAAGGAAGGGAGCTGAGGAAAAAAAGAAAAAAAAAACAACAATTAAAAGGTCATGAGGAAAGGTTAAGGGAAGTAATGACAGCCTCAGAAGGAAAACTCTAATTGGGGTTCCAAAGGGCACCAAAAGGGACAGAGGACCAGAAAGTGTATTTGAACAAATCATAGCTAAGAACTTCCCTAACTTGGGAAGGGGAACAGGCATTCAGATCCAGGAGATAGAGAGATCCCCCCTAAAATCAATAAAAATCGCTCAACACCCTGATATTTCATAATGAAACTTGCAAATTCCAAAGAAAAAGAGAAGATCCTTAAAGCAGCAAGAGACAAGAGATCCCTAAAATTTATGGGAAGAAGTATTAGGTTAACAGCAGACCTCTCCACAGAGACCTGGCAGGCCAAAAAGGGCTGGCAGGATATATTCAAGTCCTAAATGAGAAAAACATGAAGCCAAGAATACTCTATCCAGCAAGGCTCTCATTCAAAATACAAGGAGAGATAAAGAGCTTCCAAGATAGGCAGAAACTGAAAAAATAAGTGACCACCAAACGAGCTCTGCAAGAAATATTAGGGGGAAGTCTGTAAAAGAAAGAGGAAGTCCAAGGACACAACCACAAAAACAGGGACTCAATGGGTATCATGATGACACTAAATTCATATCTTTCAATAGTAACTCTGAATGTGAATGGGCTTAATGACCCCATCAAAAGGCGCAGGGTTTCAGACTGGATAAAAAAGCAAGACCCATCTATTTGCTGTCTACAAGAGACTCATTTTAGATGTAAGGACACCTACAGCCTGAAAATAAAAGGTTGGGGAACTATTTACTATTCAAATGGTCCTCAAAAGAAAGCAGGGGTAGCCATCCTTATATCAGATAATCTAAACTTTATCCCAAAGACTGTAGTAAGAGATGAAGAGGGACACTATATCATACTTCAAGGATCTATCCAACAAGAGGACCTAACAATAATCAATATTTATGTGAGCTGCCAAGTAAATCAATCAATTAATAACCAAAGTTAGAACACACTTAGATAATAATACACTTATACTAGGAGACTTGAACACAGCGCTTTCTGCAACTGACAGATCTTCTAAGCAAAACATCGGCCAAGAAACCAGAGCTTTAAAGGATACACTGGACCAGATGGATTTCACAGATATTTATAGAACTTTATATCCCAACGGAACTGAATACACATTCTTCTCAAGTGCACATGGAACTTTCTCCAGAATAGACCACAATAGACCTGCTTCACAAAGCAGGCCTTAACTGATACCAAAAGACTGGGATTGTCTCCTGCATATTTTCAGACTGTAATGCTTTGAAACTAGAACTAAATCAAAAGAAGAAACTTGCAAGGTTTTCAAACACGTGGAGGTTAAAGACCATTTTGCTAAAAGGTGAAAGGGTCAACCAAGAAATTTGAGAAGAATTAAAAAGATTCATGAAACTAATAAGAATGAAGATACAACCGTTCAAAATATTTGGAATACAGCAAAAGCAGTCCTGAGGGGGAAATACATCACAATACAAGCATCCATCCAAAAACTGGAAAGAACTCAAATACAAAAGATAAAACTTGCACCTAAAGGAGCTAGAGAAAAAAAAAACAGCAAATAGATCCTAAAGCCAGCAGAAGAAGAACATTAATAAAGATTCGAGCAAAACAAAATGAAATAGAGACCAGGAGAACTGTGGAACAGATTAACAAAACCAGGAGTTGGTTCTTTAAAAGAATGAATAAGATAGATAAATCTTTAGCCAACCTTATTAAAAACAAAAGTGAAAAGACTCAAATTAATAAAATCACAAATGAAAAAGGAGAGATCACCATGAATACGAAGGAAATACATACGATTTTAAAAACATATTATGAGCAGCTATATGCCACTAAATTAGTGGAAATGGGTGCATTTCTGGAAAACCACAAATTTCGAAAACTGGATCTGGAAGAAATAGAAAACCTGAACAGGCCAATAACCAGGGAGGAAATTGAAGCAGTCATCCAAAACCTCCCAAGACACAAAATTCCAAGGCCAGATGGCTTCCCGGGGGAATTCTATCAAACATTTAAAGAAGAAACAATACCTATTATAATAAAGCTGTTCCAAAAGATAGAAAGAGATGGAATACTTCCAACTCATTCTATGAGGCCAGCATCACCCTAATTCCAAAACCAGACAAAGACCCCACCAGAAAGGAGAATTATAGACGAATATCGCTGATGAACACAGATGCAATAATTCTCAACAAGATACTAGCCTATGGGATCCAACAATTCATTATGAAGATGATTCACCATGACCAAGTGGGATTTATCCCCGGGATGCAAGGCTGGTTCAACACTCGTAAAGCAATCAATGTGATTCATCATATCAGCAAGAGAAAAAACAAGAACCATATGATCCTCTCAATAGATTCAGAGAAAGCATTTGACAAAATACAGCATCCATTCCTGATCAACACTCTTCAGAGTGTAGGGATAGAGGGAACATTCCTCAGCATCCAAAAAGCCATCTATGAAAAGCCCACAGCAAATATCATTCTCAATGGGGAAGCACTGGGAGCCTTTCCCCTAAGATCAGGAACAAGACAGGGATGTCCACTCTCACCACTGCTATTCAACATAATACTAGAAGTGCTCACCTCAGCAGTCAGCCAACAAAAAGAAATAAAAGATGTGCAAATTGGCAAAGATGAAGTCAAACTCTCTCTCTTCACAGATGACATGATACTCTACATAGAGAACCCAAAAGACTCCACCCCAAGATTGCTAGAACTCATACAGCAATTTGGTAGCGTGGCAGGATACAAAATCAATGCCCAGAAATCAGTGGCATTTCTATACACTAACAATGAGACTGAAGAAAGAGAAATTAAGGAGTCAATCCCATTGACAATCGCACCCCAAAGCATAAGATACCTAGGAATAAACCTAACCAAAGAGGTAAAGGATCTATACACTAAAAACTACAGAACACTTCTGAAAGAATTTGAGGAAAACACAAAGAGATGGAAAAATATTCCATGCTCATGGATTGACAGAATTAATATTGTGAGAATGTCAATGTTACCCAGGGTAATTCACCCATTTAATGCAATCCCTATAAAATACCATGGACTTTCTTCAGAGAGTTGAAACAAATCATCTTAAGATTTGTGTGGAATCAGAAAAGGCCCCGAATAGCCACGGGGATATTAAAAAAGAAAAAAGAGCTGGGGGCATCGCAGTACCAGATTTCAGGTTGTACTACAAAGCTGTGGTCATTAAGACAGTGTGGTACTGGCACAAAAAAACAGAAACATAGGTCAATGGAACAGAATAGAGAATCCAGAATGGACCCTCAATTTTATGGTCAACTAATATCCGACAAAGCAGGAAAGACTATCCCCTGGAAAAAGGACAGTCTCTTCAATAAATAGGGCTGGGAAAATTGGACATCCACATGCAGAAGAATGAAACTGTACCATTCTCTTACACCATACAAAAAGATAAACTCAAAATGGTTGAAAGATCTAATTGTGAGACAAGAATCTATCAAAATCCTAGAGGAGAACAAAGGCAACACTCTTTTTGAACTTGGCCACAGTAACTTCTTGCAAGATACATCCATGAAGGCAAGAGAAACAAAAGCAAAAATGAACTATTGGAATTTCATCAAGATCAAAAGCTTCCGCACAGCAAAAGAAACAGTCAACAAAACTCAAAGACAACCCACAGAATGGGAGAAGATATTTGCAAATGACCTATCAGATAAAGGGTTAGTATCCAAGATCTATAAACAATCCAATCATGAAATGGGCAAAGGACATGGACAGTAATTTCACAGAGGAAGCCATAGACATGGCCAACAAGCACATGAGAAAATGCTCCACATCACTGGCCATCAGGGAAATACAAATCAAAATCACAATGAGATACTACCTCACACCAGTGAGAATGGGGAAAATTAACAAGACAGGAAACAACAAATGTTGGAGAGGATGTGGAGAAAGGGGAACCCTCTTGCACTGTTGGTGGGAACGTGAACTGGTGTATTCTGGAAAACTCTGTGGATGTTCCTCAGAGAATTAAAAATAGATCTGCCCTATTACCCAGCAATTGCACTGCTGGGGATTTACCCCAAAGAGAGAGATACAGTGAAATGCTGGAATACCTGTTCCCTGATGTTTTAGCAGCAATGTCCACAATAGTCAAACTATGGAAGGAGCCTCGGTGTCCATCAAAAATGAATGGATAAAGAAGATGTGGTCTATGTATACAATGCAGTATTACTCAGCCATTAGAAATGACAAATACCCACCATTTGCTTTGACGTGGATTGAACTGGAGGGTGTTATGCTGAGTGAAATAAGTCAATTGGAAAATGACAAATATTATATCATCTCATTCATTTGGGAAATATAAAAATTAGTGAAAAGGAATAAAGGAGAAAGGAGAGAGAATGAGTGAAAATGTCAATGAGGATGACAAAACAGGAGAGACACCTAACTCTGGCAAATGAACAAGGGGTACTGGAAAGGGAGGTGGGCGGGGGGGTGAGGTGACTGGGAAGGCCCTGAAGGGGGCACTTGGTGGGATGAGCACTGGGTGTTATGCTATATGTTGGCAAATTGAACTCCAATAATAAAATTTAAAAAAATATATTTACAGGAAACAGTTCATTTATTCAAAAACTCATTTTGTGTGGCATCTGCTAGATATAATTTTATGAAGATTTATAAGTCCCAAAATTGAAGAGAGGAGAATATAACTACAACTTACTCCTTGACAATGAAGATAGTCAATTGTCTTAGTTATTACAATCAATACATCACTAGCTTCTTGTTCTGAGAACCATTTTTTTTTGAGAATACGGTCAAGTAGTTCTCCTCCTTTCATCAAATCCGTAACAACGTAAACATATCTACCATCATCATAAACCTAAAAAAAATTAATATTATTATTTATAATTATAATTATGAAATTTTGAAATTATATTTACTTTCCTTTTCTAGTGAACCTCTATTGTTATTAAAGGACATCATCCCGTTACTGTTAATATAGTATAGTCTACACTGAAGATTAAAATGGCTAAATAACTTTCTACACAGTCTTGAAACCATGTTAAATATATCATTGCATTAACTTTTGAAGTTGTACATTATGCTTCATCAACTGATATAAATGGAACAACAGATCTCTGTGTCTGTCAAATGGCATCTATCCCCTATTTGACTATATTATAGCCACTTCTCTACCAATAACCATCTTCCTTCTGGCAGTAAATACATCGTTTTTAAATATCATCCTCACAGTCCATTACCTAATATGGTGTCTTAAATATTTGTCAAATTCAAATACTATGTTACGGAGAATAAATAAGAAAAATAAGTGTACCATTTCATTCAGGGCATGTGAGATATCTGTGTATACAGATATGCGTGCACATATGTGTGTGTGTTTATAACAAAATACTGTTTACAAATTACTAATCAAAATGCATAATACTGTTTCACTCAAGGAGCAATCCACAATGCTATAGCCATTTGCTATATAATCAAGAAAGTAAAATATTTTAGAATTTGGCAGATTCCAATTCTCCTATATCTTTTATATTTAAGGTACTACAGGATAATAAATGGTGCTGGTTATAATGTTGATTAGTTGACCAGCCAGAATATATTCAAGCCATCAAGACACTGTCATTCACCAACCATCATGTTCCCTTTTAATCTTGTAAAAGAAGGGTAGGAGTACAGAATCACAGGGGAAAAAAAGAAGTGAAGTGGCAAATTTAAGAGTTTTGAGGTTTTATAGTATAAAAGTAGAATATACCATAAAAATGAATAATTTCAAAAAGAAAAAGTGTCAAAACTTCATTAGCTTAGCTGATACATAGATTTTAAATACTTACATCCTTTAAAGTAATAATGTTGGGGTGTTGTCCATAGCGCATCAAAATTTCAATTTCTTCTGAGGGGTCTCTCTTACTTTTGTCAATGATCTAAGAAATAAGTTAAGAAAATTCTCAGAGAAAACCAAATTATTGTCTTTGTCTAAAAATGAATGAAATATAGTCAATATAATATTTTAAGCAAACACTTAAAACTCAAGACTGATGTTTATTTCATATTATTTTAACATTTAAAAATTTCCTATAACAGAAACTTAAAAAAAAACCAGAATACTAAAAAAAAACCCAGAACACTTTCCTTAAAATTATATTCCACTTAACTGAAGCTATGCCAACTGATAATGTAATCCAAATTTAACAGTAATTATCATAATTACACAATCTTATACTATATTAAAATAAAGCTATTTAAAACAAGACTATCATGAAATATACCATTCCTCCAAAATAAATTCAAATGACAATATTAAGTCTTAAGACTTTTCCCCCATCTTGATGAGCACTGGGGGATATATGTAAGTGGTGAATCACTAAATTCTACACCTGAAATTAATTTTACCATATATGTTATCTGACTGGAATTTAGATACTTGAGAAAAATCTCTTCCTCTCTCATCTTTGCTATCTCCACTTGCTCCATTGAAAAATGTTTGTCAGTTAACCTTTAATTTAACTTATATATATAAAAACAAACAAACAAGTTAGGCTCAGAGATAATACCTTCACTGCAAATTCCATGTTGGTAGCTGTATGTATGCATCGCTTGCAAACAGAATAGGAGCCAACACCAATATCCTCTTTTAATTCATATACTTCAGCAAATTGTGCAGCATTTCCATTTATCTATTTTTTAAGGTAAAATATTAAGGAGAATGAAATATTTTCACATTTTTATCTTCTCTCCTAAATATGCATCAGCCTGAAATCTTTTAAAAATTCATTATAGAGAGAGGTTTTATCAGTATTTGCAAATGGTTTAAGGAGATTCTGAGCTGATCCTAAATGTTAGGTTTTTTAGATCCCCAAAGCCAAAACAACAAACCAACTAGCTTAAACACTGTTATTCCATTATTTTTGTCAGAAGACACTACATAAATTTAATTAAAGGATACTACTAATGTATTTTTCTCAAACCATAGAGACATCTTTAAATCATATTATATACAGAGATAAATTAAGAAGTTAAAAATCACCTAAATTCGTGTAAATCCATTAGCAATAACTGAAAAAAATAGTTATCCCTATATTGAATTATCTGATTAAGTGGAATTTACCTGAACAATTGGTAACACATTTGCACTTGTGACAGGAGTGATTTTATATTCTTCTGCAATAGACGTTGCAACAAAGCTGAATCCTTTGAAGAGTTGATGAGCGTTAGCACTAGCTGGCAAACCAGGAGAATCTAATGTCCAAATAATTGTATTCAATTAGAACTACACAGAATTCTATGATATGAAATGTTAGCATTTCTTTAAGTATAAAAGAAACCATTAAATGTTTCCATCAGACATAGTATATCATGTGTTTCATTTATTGCATATTATCTGTCTCCCCACACTAGTATGCAAGCACCATGGATTACAATTTTTGCCCATTCTGTTTACTGCTCCATTTTCACTGCTTAATAGGTTCAATATTTGTTGGTATTCAATAATTGTTAAATGAATATATGAAGTAGATGCTACTATAAGTAGACCTCATTAAATTATAAATTTTAAGAGTCACTGATATAGGCAGCCCTGGTGGCTTAGCAGTTTAGCGCCACCTTCAGCCCAAGGCGTGATCCTGGAGACCCGGGATGGAGTCCCACTTCAGGCTCCCCGCATGGAGCCTGCTTCTCCCTCTGCCTCTCTGCCCCCCCCCATAAACAAACAAACAAACAAACAATAAATAAATAAATAAATAAAATCTTAAAAGAAAGAATCACTGATATATCTCATCTTACCTCCTACCCCTTACTCTATAATGTATTAGCATGTCAAAGGACTTTTAAAACAGGAAAGATTTTTACCCTTTGCTCTAGCCCTTGCTTCCCTGATAAATATTTCCTACTTAAATCCTCTGCTTGAATAATGCCCAAGCAATGCTGTATATAAGATCCACACTTTCATATAGAACAAATCAACCCTCTGCAAACTTAAAATTCATTTAGTTTTTATCTAAAAAGCTAGTTTACTTTTAAGATTTTATTTATTCATGAGAGACACACAGAGAGGCAGATACATAGGCAGAGGGAGAAGCAGACTTCCCAAGGGGAGCCCTATACTGGACTGGATCCTGGGACTCCAGGATCACACTCTGAGCCCAAAGCAGATGCTCAACCACTGAGCCACCCAGGTGTACTCCCCTAGTTTATTTTTAAACATTTAATTGAACTAAAAGGTCTGATGTTACATATAAACATGCATTACCTTTAGGTGTTTTTGCAGTAAACTCAGGATCAAAACAAAAAGTATCATCTGGTTTTCCAGAAGCAGGTTTGAAAGGAGGTTGAACTTCTCTTCTATATAATCTCTAGAAAAAATATCAACAAGATAATACAAAATCATATTAACACTTTAAAATTATTGTATTTTTTTAAAGGAAAGCAGAACATAAAATTCATAGTCCTTAACAGAAGACTCACAATTTAATAACTAAAATTTTAAAAGGCTTCAGATACCTGTTAACCAAATTCTAAAAATTTGAGAAATAATGTGCCCAGTCAAATGAGACCAAGAAACAACAGTGGTGCCAAAAGTTGCATTCACAATGAAGGATGTTCAGTTTTGGATATCAAAAACTGACTTGAATTTTCACAGATAAAATAACCATGTAGAATATATCACAATGCAACCATATACAAATACTAACAACATTCAAGAATTTCAAAACTAATAGATTATCTTCAAGAAGTATATATTTCACCTAAAGTATTTTTTTACATAAAAACATGCCTAAAAAACACTATTTAGGGCTCTTACTCTATAACAAAAATATAATTTGTCAATAATTTAACTTCCTAAAATTTATTTTTGAAAGACTCTTAAAACATTTTATAATACATGAAAATCTACTCCTCTCTTTTAAAATCGGCTTTTCTAAAGGTCACAGTCCCATAGTCGGGGAAAATTAATAGAGAATTACTTTGGTTTTCATTGATTTAATATATAAACATTCCATTCTTTTGTTATTTAAATTAAGAGAAATTAACATAAACTATTTAGATATAAGAATGATGGAAAAAAAAGACTTTGCCCTTTGTCTAGTTAAGGAGAAAGGACGAGTAAACAAGTATTAGGAAAAAAATGACAAGAGGATACAAGGACACCAAAAAAGTGATGCAAACACATATGACATAGGGCGGACTCCTTTTTTTTTTTTTAAGATTTATTTGTTTGCTCATGAGAGAGAGAGAGAGAGAGAGAGGCACAGACACAGGCAGAAGGAGAAGCAGGCTCCATGCAGGAAGCCTAATGTGGAACTAGATCCCAGGTCTCCAGGACCATGCCCTGGGCTGAAGGCAGGCACCAAACCTCTGAGCCACCCAGGGATTCCCGCTTTTAGGGTATTAATATTGATGGCTTATGTTATGCAGTTTACAATTATAAAAAATAATTTTTCCAACTATTTAAATTCCAGCTAGTTAACATATAGTGCAATATTGGTTTTAGGTGTAGAATTTAGTGACTCATCACTTATATACGACACCTGATGCTCATCCTAACAAGTGCCCTGCTTAATAACCATCACCTGTTTAACCCCCCACCCCCCGCACACCTCCCCTCCAGCAACCCTCAGTTTGTTCTCTATAGTTAAGAGTCTATTTCTTGTTTTGCCTCTTTCCCCCAACCATGTTCATTTGTGTTGTTCTTTTAAATTCCACATATGAGTGAAAGCATATGGTATCTTTTTCTAACTTATTTTGCTGATCATAATACATTCTAGTTCCATCCATGTAGTATATATATATAAAAAAGTAACAAATACACTTCTGGTACCCCATTACATATATATATAGTACTATATATATATATATATATATATATATATATATATATATATATATATATATACACACACACACACACACACCCCACTTCATCATCCATTCATTAGTTAATAGACATTTGGGCTGTTTCCATATTTTGACTACTGTTGATAATGCTGCTATAAAGATTACGGTGCATGGATCCCTTCAAATCAGTATTTTTGTATCCTTTGGGTAAATATTTAGTGGTACAATTGGTAAGTCATAGGGTAGTTATATTTTTACTTTTTGAGGAACCTCCATACTGTTTCCAGAGTGGCTCCACTAGTTTGCATTCCCACCAAAAATTTAAGAGGGTTCCCCTTTCTCTACATCCTTGCCAACACCTGTTGTTTCCTGTGTTGTTGATTTTAGCCATTCTGAACTAGTGTAAAGTGATATTTCACTGAGTGATGTTGAGCATCTTTTTCTGTATCTGCTGGCCATCTGGATGTCTTTGGAAAAATGTCGATTCATGTCTTCTGTCCAGATTTTGGATTATTCATTTTTTTGGGTATTGATTTTTATATGTTTTTTAATATATTTTAGATACTAACACTTTATCAGTTATGTTATTTGCAAATATATTCCCCATTCCTTAGATTGCCTTTTAGTTTTGTTGATTGTTTGCTGTACAGAAGCTATTTATCGGTTAAGTGTGGTTACTCTCCTCTTTGAATTAGAATTCATTTTCTTTAAGAATTTGCCTTATCATTCACCCCCTTACCCCTTTCTATTTCTTCTCCACATTCCCCAATTGAGAATAGGGGAGAACAGTAACCATACTTAATAGATAAAACATATGGGTAATAGAAATTTACTAAATATCATCCACACACATTTGGTTCAAGGTAATTGCCATGACATCTATATCTCTAAATAAAAATCTCACACCAAAAACAAAACAATAGGATTAAGTTTATCAACAAAGTCCTAATATGACCATTTTATTCTTCAGTGTTAATTCATATTAGTCACTCAGTATCAGAGTTTCTTTCTTTTTTTTAATACTTTTTATTTTATTTAATTTATGATAGTCACACACACAGAGAGAGAGAGAGAGAGAGAGGCAGAGACATAGCCAGAGGGAGAAGCAGGCTCCATGCACCGGCAGCCCGACGTGGGATTCGATTCCGTGTCTCCAGGATTGCGCCCTGAGCCAAAGGCAGGCGCTAAACCGCTGCGCCACCCAGGGATCCCAGTAACAGAGTTTCTACTGAACTTACATTCCAGTCAACATTTGCAAAAAAAAGATGTCTTTTGATTTCCTCAACTCCTTCTGAACCTATAAAAAAAGAAATAATTTTTTACTACTATAATACTTTTAATGTTTCTACCTGGCTTCTCTGCTGTTATCTCAAGAATATACACATATCATAGATTCCTTGCAGTGAAAATTTTATGATTTTTATTTGATATTTTATTGTGATTTTTTAAATTTAATACAGTAAAATATATCTGATGTACACATTGAAGCACATAAAATATCATGAAATACTGAAATGCCTTCCAAATTGAATCAAAATAATATTTAACATAATCAAAATTGAAGTATAGTTTCTTTTCTTCACAATTCAACTTACAGCTGTATCTCAATGCCAAATTAAAAAGTTCAACAGAATAGACATTGAAATTTAAACACAAGTACATAAATAATAGGATCACAGCTGGATCCAGGGAAAGGCTACCAGAAACTGGGCAAAGAACAAGAGGCTATGGACATATTTAACTTGAAGAGTACTGGAAGGTACAAAATAACTACCTTCAAATATCAAAAGGATTACCTATATAAGGGATAATTCTGTGAATTATTTTTAAAAAGGCAAACCACGTAATATACAAAATGATATTAAACAGTAGTTTTGAATAAGTAGACTACTCCATTTTTAAATTATGGCCATAAGAGTTTACTGGATCTATGTACATACAAAATGCAAACTTCTAGGTATAAATATATAGCATCAGTAAATGAATTAAGCCAGAGAGCTTGAAGTTACAATTATCCTCCTAAAACATGCAGTGTATTGTGATAAAAGCTAAGACAATAAAGAATACCCAATCTATTTGCTGGATTCCTTTTAAACAACATCCTTAGGAGACTTTGTGCCTCAGCACTAAGAAATTGAGGCATCCCAAGTTTTGCTCTGAAAAAGAAGATTTTAAAAAAATTTCACTTAAATTTAGCCATTCTTTACATTGACAAACCTCAAAAAGAATTTAAAAGAATGCTTTAACAATGACAAATAATGTCCTTTATATGGTAGGAGAAGAAAATATGACAGTGTGAAAAAATACTCTTCCGTCAATTGAAAACAAGTTTCTCAAAACTGAAAGCAAGGAATTTTTCCCAAAAGAAAAAACTAGTGTTTACACTTACTTTAATATCATATTCATGGTCTCATTTCGGTCTTTACCTTGGAATGGCAGAGTACCAGTAAGCATTTCAAACTAAAACAAACAAAAAGTAACACATAATTTAGAACTTAGAATATACAATAAAATTTTGTAGGAAAAAACTTGAGACATCTAATCCATGATTATCAAATCATGAAGGATATACATGATAAGTCAAAATAAGACCAGAAAAGTAACAAATAAAGAAATACACTTCTGGTACCCCATTACATGTAGCCCAATTAATAGGTGACCTGTAGGAAATGAAACCAACCAATTTTTCAGTCCTGTCTAATTTGGCTAAGTTCACAAAATCAAAGCAATCTGAAAATAGACACACAACATTTCTTTTAAAAAATATGCCTTTAAAGCAAACATTTAACAATGAATGGAAAATAAAGATAAGCACTGAACCATTTCAAATTCATACATGCTTTGTACACTTGAAACTAATATTACAATATATATTGACTGGAATTTAAATAAAAACTTTAGAAGCTCTACAAAAGGCTAATAAGCTCATGAAAAGATGCTCAATATCACTAGTCTTTAGTGAAAGAAAAGAAAAAAAAAAAGATTAACCATTCTCATTCTCCTCACTGCCCTCCCCCAAGAAAAACCAATCAAAAAAGAACAAGAGGCTACAACACAAACACCAATATCTTGAAAAAAAATTGAGACAGTTGCACATGGCTAAAAAGCATTTTCCCTAAGAGATTTAACAACAATGTGGTAATTAGAACATTAAATAATGGTATAAAAAAGACTGGATCTAAAAATTAAGATCATTAGATTTCACTAAAGGGAAAACTTTTTATTTCTCTAATATTTAAATACTGAACTTAGATTCAATAATGGCTTTGGCTTCAGTCCTCTGCTCATTTATTTATTTTTAAAGATTTTATTTATTTCTTCATGAGAGACCCAGAGAGAGAGAGAGGCAGAGGGAGAAGTAGGTTCCATGCAGGAAACCCAATGTGGGACTTGATCCCAGAACTCCGAGGTCACGCACTGAGCCAAAGGCAGAGGCTCAACCACTGAGTCACCCAGGCACCCCAGTCCTCTGCTCATTTATCTGAATTTACAACCTTAGTTAGCTTATCCATTCAACTCTTTCCTATATACTGATGACTTTCAAATCTGTTCCGGCTTCAATCTCTCTCAAGTCTCAGTTCTCCCTCCCAAATCTATAGTAATATTTTTCAACTGGATACTTAAGAAGTAGGGGTAGGAGCCACAGAAAGTGAAAGAAGAAAAAAGAAAGTATCATATAGAGGGATTATTGCTCTCAAGCTCCAGTCCCCTACGTCCAAACCTAAAGTTATAGCTCTCCACTCGGGACTGAAGGGGTAGAGGTGGTAATGGCAAGGACAAAAGGAAGGAATATATTATATTGGAATCAAAACTCCCCCTTAAATTAAACTGTATGTTGGCTGAGTAGTTTTTTTTTAACATCTCCAGATGATTCTGATCCTTTCTCTACTTCCTATTCCTAATTTATTACCACCAAGGGGTTAACCACAAACCTATAATAACCTATGCAACATGTTATAGATAAATTATTTCTCCACTTCTAAAACCAGCTCTCCATCCCAACTATCTCTTTTCTACTGAACTTTTATTCTTTCAATTCCTTAAAGTTCATAAATTGTAAAGGTTTCATTATCTTTGACCCTTTCCTTCTCCTTCATCTGTGACATTAAATCAGGTATTAAAATCAGTCACTTCTTCCTTCCTAAAATACATTTTTCTCTAATTACCATCTCGTTAAAGAATCTACAAGTTTCCTACTACTCAGAGAATTGCATACATATGTTGATAGGCTTATCGTCTCATTTCCTCCACCATGACCCTCATTTTCCACCACTATTCTAATATTCTAATTGGTTCTACAGTTCTTTGCTAATATGATCACAATACTATCCTTCTTGAATTGGAGCTATTTAAATTTTATCCATGCTTCTTTTTTTTAAGATTTTATTTATTCATGAGAGACACAGAGGGTGACAGAGACACAGGCTGAGGGAGAAGCAGGCTCCCTGCAGGGAGCCCAATGTGGGAATGGATTCCAGGACCCCGGGATCATGACCTGAATTGAAGGCAGACGCTCAACCAGTGAGCCACCCAGGGGCACTCCATACTTCTTAATTTAAGTTCCACTTCTTCCACTTTTCCTAAATCAACTTATATGATTTCTTGCCTGAATTCCTAAGGTATACTGTCAGACAGTTTATTTAGTTGTTCCAATTGTTTCCCCAGCCAGATTGTATGCTTTCTTAGGTGATGAAAAACGTCAAGTACTGTACTGCCAGTTTATTCCTACTCCACTGCCCTCCCCAATGCCAGGTTTATAATAGGCCTTAATATATTGATGTGTTATAGAGTATGTCATTTATTTTTTTAATATATAGTATGTCATTTAGTAGTAAATAGGGAAAATGGATTATCATCAAAATAGATTATCAGCAAGATGGATTATACAGGCAAATTGATTCAATAGCTATTCATTTATCACCCTACTTAATACTCCAAATTCTATTCTTTTTTTTAAAGGTCACAAGCTCTTTTTTTAAGATTTTATTTATTTATTCATGAGAGACATGGGGTGGGCGGGGGGGGTAGAGACACAGGCAGAGGGAGAAGCAGGCTCCATGCAGGGAGCCTGACGTGGGACTCCATCCCAGGTCTCCAGGATCAGGACCTGGGCTGAAGGCGGCACTAAACAGCTGAGCCACTCGGGTGTCCTCTATTCGTAATTTATACCAGATTAGTCAATTTGTATGTTGACTATGCTAGGTATCATGGGAGATGAAAAGTAGTATGAAATATGATTGCTCTCCTCAAGAAGTTTACAATCTTTCTAGGGACATGCATGGAACAATTAGACAGTAAGACAGTTTATGGTAAAGTGATAAATTCTGTGATACCTAATTAAAATACCATGCGAGAATTAAACATAGTATTCTGAAATATAAAAACTGGTAACCTTTTTCTAACTTTTATATTTGAATGGCTTATAAAAGAATGCTGCCATTTTACCTTTTAATCTAGGAACTTTAAAGAAATCAGAATACTAAATCCTCAATTCTTACCATATAACACCTAGCCAGTCACAAGTTTTTTAGTAATCATAAATTATAAAAACTCTATTCTCTCCTGACATATTGCAAAATTTATTAACATTTTAAATAATATTAACTTTATATTGGCAAAATTTTAAAAAATAACAGTACTTGCCATAAGTACACCATATGACCACCAATCAGCACTCTGGGAATGGCCTCTCCTATTTACTACTTCAGGAGCCATATACTCCACTGTACCACAAAATGAGTAAGCCTTCTTTTCTTGATCAACTGATTCCTTGCTGAGACCAAAATCTGTAATAACAATGTGTCACAAAAATATATCTGAATATATTCAGAAAATAGAATATACCAAAAGAAATAAAATTATATGTTAGACCTTAAAACAATTCATGGATGGCCTATAATTACTCTTAAGAAAGCTCTCCTGTGAGACAAATAATGGAATGCGGCCAATATTTCATAAAGATACTCTTTAAGAGCACTTAAAGATTACTTAAATTTCATCATCAAAATACATGTTTTCATGTCTATACTAAAATATCATTCAGCAATTCTGAGAGGTCAATAATTAAATCAAAGTTTTCATAGTGATCTAAGTTTTAAAACAGACTAAGACAAAAAGAAGAGAGTAACTTACATTTTTTAAAACACTAAAAAACCAATTATGCTTTGGCTTTGGTAAGCTTCCATTTGTTTAAAGCTTTCAAGAGCTAAAGGTACCAATATATAAAAATCAATCTTATTTCTATGTAATAGCAATGAAAAATTGTAAGCTGAAATTCACAAAGTACCATTTATAATACCACCAAAAAATCCACACATGAAATCCACAGGTATAAATATACAAAGTATATGTAAGATATGTATACTGCAAACTAGAAACACTGATGAAAGAAATCAAAGTAAATCTAAATAAATGGAGAAACACATCATATGCATGGTTTGGGAGATTCAATATTGTTAAATATATCAATTCTACTAAAAGCCAATATCCAGAGTCCATGAAACTTCCAGCAAGATTTCTTTTATAAAAATCAAAAAACTAAATTTAAAATTTATAAAAAAGACTATAGGAAATACAATAGCCAAAATAATTTTGAAGAAGAAAAACACTGAGGACTAATACTACCTCACTTCAATACTTACTATAATGCTAAAGTAATCAAGACAGTTTGGCATTGGAGAAAGTATAGACATAGATATGTCATACATACATGACAATATATATTGACATACATGTTGATATATATCAATGCAAAAGGACCGTGAGTAGACTAAGTCCAAGAATAGAAAACATATAGGTCTACTATAATGCTTGTTTTGAAAATGCAAATTTGTTACAACATGATTGATATATTAGGAAACAATTTGAGCATAACATAAGTTTCAAATGGGGTTGGCTAATGTGTGGTTTACCTGCAATTTTGTCTACAAGAAAACACTAGCTGTTTTCTAGCTGCACCTAGCTGAAGCAACCAAGTAGAAATAGACACATGCACATACCCCAAACATCTGCCAGCTATTTCAGCTCACCAGGTGTATTAGGAGTCATTCTTATCTACCTGTAGTGTTACAACCTTCCTCAGAATTCCAGATAATCTATCTTCTACTACTTCACAATAACCAAACAAACTGTAACCTTTCTGAAAACAATTCTTCAAGCAAATTTCAGGATATTTTCGAGGTAAGTTTCCTACTTATTGTAGTGTTTATATATTCTTACACATTTAGAAGTGTAAAGTAATGCTGTCATTTTTGTCAACTTCCTGTCTTTCTTTTGTGGTCTCATTATATATCTGAATGTTAAACCTCTAACCTCAGTTTCCCCATTAAGTCATTTGCATTTTATTATGTAATTATTCAAAGTGGAGTGATTTTTTTAAGATCATATGTGCTGCATTACATCTGACTATAGATAGATAGATAGATAGATAGATAGATAGATAGATAGATGATAGATAGATAGATGATAAAGGAGTAAAAGCAATTCCATGAAGAAAGTTCTTTTCAACAAATGGTGCCAGACGCAGCGGTTTGGCGCCTGCCTTTGGCCCAGGGCGCGATCCTGGAGACCCGGGATCGAATCCCACGTCAGGCTCCCGGTGCATGCAGCCTGCTTGTCCCTCTGCCTGTGTCTCTGCCTCTCTCTCTCTCTCTCTCTCTCTCTCTCTCTGTATGACTATCGTAAATAAAAAAAAATTAAAAAAAACAAATGGTGCCAGAATAGGATATTAATATAAAAAATCCTTGTAACATAAATATTAACCAAAAATGAATCACAGAAAATGTAAAACCTAAAACTTTAAAATTTCCAAAAGAATAAAAGGAGGAAATGTTTGTGATCTTGTATTTCTGAGATACAACATCATAAGTATAATTCATAAAAGAAAAAAGTTGATAACTGGACTTTACCAGCATCAAAACTCTTCAGAAGATACTGTTCAGAGAAGAAAAAAAGAAGTTATAGACTGCAGAAAATATTTGTAAACTGCATATATGATAAAGCTCTTATATTCAGAATATATTTTAAAAACTCAAAATTCAATAATAAGAAAACAAACAACCCACTCTTTTTAAAAGGGCAAAAGATCTGAACAGATACTTCTCCAAAGAAATAAAAAGATGCTCACTCTCATCAGTTATTAGGGGAATTCTAATTAAAACCCCAAAGAATACCACTATATGTCTATCAGTAGAGCTAAATAAGCTGACAATACTAAGTAATGGCAAGGATGCAGAGCAACTAGTCTCATATGCTGCTGATGGGTATGCAAAATGGTGCAACCACTTGGAAGACAGTTTACAGGTTTCTCACTAAGTTAAAAATACACTTACCATATGACCAAGCAATCCCACTCCTTTGGTATTTACTCAAGTGAAAAAAAATTATGTTCAGATAAAACCTGCAGCACATGAATATTTACAGTGGCTTTATTCATCACTGCCAAAAACTGGAAACAAGCCAAATACCCCTTACTTGGGGATTAGACAAACCATGGCATCATCATAAAATGGAACACCATTCAGCAATAAAAAATAAAACACACAATATAGATTAATCTCAAATGCAGTATATTAAGTAAATGAAGCCAGACTCAAAAGGCAATTTACTCCTATGCCTCTGTTTACATTACATCATGGAAAAGGTAAAACCTTAGGGACCAAAAGCCGACTGATATTTGTCTAAGATAAAAAGTAGTATTGACTTGTAATGGGGAAATTTTGGACGGTGATAGAATTGTTTCTTATCTCTACGTTGGTGGTAGGAATAAAATAAATGTATTTGTCAAAGTTTGCAAAAGTATAGATTAAAAAGTGATTTTTAAAAAGTAAACCTTGTATTTTGAGACCATTGCAAATTCGCATATGCATGTGAAATACTATAAGAAATCCTATTACTGAAAAAAAAAAGAAATCCTATTTACCTTTTACCCAGTTTCCCCCATGGTAAAATCTTACAAAACTATATTACAATATCACAACCACAGTATTGAGAAGGGTGTAGTCAAGATACAGGAAAATTCCATCACCACAAGGATCCAAAGAATGAGTTTTACCCTGCGTAAATTATACCTTAATTCTATAAAGGAAAATAAATCTTTAAGTCCTAAATTGCTCTCTTAAAATAAAATATCAACATGAATAATTAATTTTAGGGTCCCTCAAAATTAATTTTCTAACCATGTCCAATATTTTCATTTAAAAATCACTTATCCTTGAATAATGACTTTAATGCATTATTTTTACCATAATTAAAAAAAATCTTTTCAATGTACTACTACTCTCTTTGCCTATATTTTGAGAATTTTAAACTCTTGTGCATTCCATTTCAAAGATTAAATGTAATGAAAGCTAGTCTTTGAGGTCAGTTCAGCTGAATATAATAACATACCTTGTAAGAGAAGAACACTGGCTTCTTTGGTCATTCCAGAGATGAGGAGAAAGGGAAGAGAATTTTCTTATCCTCCATTACCTTTCACAGATTTATACCACTCCATACAGGTCCTCTGCTGTACTTGTCTGACAAAACTGACATTTAACACTAGAATTTGCTCAGTAATCAATTGACAAAAAGTTTTACAATATGAGTTAGCTACAAGATTAAATAAGATATATAAGTTAAGCGGTGATTTTTCCAAGCCACTACTTTGAAAACAAAATACAGAAAGCAGCTTTATAAGGGCTTTTTTTTGAGGAGGAGGTCAGTATATCTTTGTATACTTAAATGACTCTAAGACTTCAAATTTTCAAAATGTGCCTAGAGACAATGATTTCATAAATATTTACTATGAGTAAAAGTAATCTCAATGAATAATTTGCATAACCATAAAATTATTAAAATTAATTTTATGTATACATTCTCTCTTAAATATCCAATCAAGTACTGTGTGATATAAATTTCTGACACTGTATATTTTTTCTCCCTTCTCTTTATAGAAATTACCCTGAATTCTGTCCCTCCAAAAACACATTATAGTAACCAGAGACAGTTGAAATCAATTGTATGTTCAATTTAAAGCTTTTAGTGGAATATTATGAATAAACATTATTTTATGAACCAGGTAAATCATATTAGTTAGTTTTTATATAGACTATGAGGTGGGGTGTTACAGAAAAAAATGAGACACAACAAACAATATAAATAATACATTGACATTTATGCAGATATTTTGGGGGTGTTCTCATTCTATTGGTCTTCTGCTATGCAATCATACTCTTGGTATGAGGTCAATTAGGCTCAAACCATAGTCATATCAGCGAACTTTTGTATAGTTCACTGCCATTCTAGAGTAATTTGTTAAACATTGCATCTGTTCCTTTTATTCAGAGAATTTTTTAAATGGACTGGTAAAAAGAAAGATATTGTCCTTCTCTTATGATTAAGGAAAACCTAATTCTTCCTCCTAAGCCTAGGAAGAAACAATGTTGAGAAAGACTCTGTTATATGAGACATTCTTAAATCATTAGAGCCCACTGGTTTCAATGATAAACAGCAATCGATCTGGTATTTTTGACTGTAATATTCAAAATGGAAGGAAGAAGATAGGAAGGACAAGAGGAAAAGAGGGAAAGGAAGAGGGAAGAAAAGACACACAAAAGGTAAGAAAGCAAGAAAGGAAGAAAAAGAAAAAGAAGAAAGAAAGAAAGAAGAAAGAAAGAAAGAAAGAGAAAGAAAGAAAGAAAGAAAGAAAGAAGAAAGAAAGAAGAAAGAAAGGGAGGAAGGAAGAATAGAAGGAAAATAAGTTAAAGGAAATAATGAAAAAAAAGTAAAGTATTAGAATATTTGCTGTGAATGGTCACACTTTAACCAACCTTACTGGAATGTTGTAAGGTTAAACCCATATGTTTATTACTCATTAAAAAACTCTGAATTAGGCTGTAATTATAAAACAGTATTAATTATCTAATATTTATTATTGTCTACTTCTTTAAAGAAATATTTATGCCATTTTAAAGAAAATAGACTGAATTGTTAAAAATATATATAAATCATTTTTTATTTTTATAAGCTTTGTCCTTTGTTTATAAGTTTGCATTTATTCTAACTATTCCTTTATCCACAGCCAATTTAAGTCCAAAAGCTATAAAAGCAGAATTCATATTACAAGACTAAATATAAAACAATTTGACATCATTATTCACCAATTAATCATAATGTAGAAAAGAGATATAGGTAGGATTTATTCTACTTTTTTTCCCACTTACCTTCCTCAACCCCTGACAAAACAGGCATATTTTTAAAAAAATGAAAATAATTAAATTCTAATTAGCTTTGCAACAAAAGTTGATTGGTATAAAATAAAAATTATGCAATATATAAAATCTTAAAAACCTCTACTGTTCTATTATTTTTCTTTCCTTTTTCTCTTTCAATCCCTTTAAATCAACTTTTCTTCTTTTATATATGAAAAAGAGAATCAGGTTATGACTAAGAAAGATTTACTAAACTTTATTTGAACTTTATCACAACTGCCTGAGCTTTCAAGTTAACAGCTTTATTATACTTTAGTTTTACACTGAAGCAGTATACTTAAGAGTTTAAAGCAACTTACCTTTAAAGTGTACTGGTCCAAAATTCTCTGTAAAGACCACATCTTCATTTTAACATTCTGATAATTAAATAAAGATTTTACTATCTATTTATAACATAAGTAACCTTTTGAGATTGGCTCACTCAGCATAATGCCCTTGAGTCCATCCAAGTTGTTGCATATATCAAGAATTCTTTCCTTTTTACTGCTGGGTAGTATTCCATTGTATGGTTGTATCACAGTTTGTTTACCCATTCATTCTTTGAAGGACATTTGGGACATTTCCAGTCTTGGGCTATTATAAATAGAGCTGCTATGAAAATTCATGTATAGGGTTTTATGTGGACATAAGTTTTTATTTCTTTAGGACAAATGCCCAGGATGGGTACTGTACGGTTCTATTTATATCATATTCTCAACATAACAAAACCAGATATGTAGAATAGATAAGTGGTTGCCAGGAGTTTGGGTAGGGGGAAGGAGGGTATAATTGTAAATGGGCAGCACAAGAGAGTTTTTTTTGTAGTTGTAGAACAATTTTGCATATTGATTGTGGTGGTGGTATTCAAATCTGTGCATGTGATAAAAAGTCATAGAATTATATACAAACAAAAATAAATTCATGCAAAATCTAGTGAAATCCAAATAAAGTATAGAGTCCAGTGAGTTGTATTATACAAATCAATTTCTGTGGGTTGATAATACACTGCAGTTTTATAAGATGTCACCATTGAGGGAAACTGGGTTATTAGTACACAGGACCTTTCAATATTATTTTTGCCACATACCGTGAGTCCAAAATTATTTAAAAATAAAAGTTTTTAAAAATGGTGTAATAAAGATATTTTATACTTAAGAATCCTGTGAGGATTAGCATCTGGTGTTATAGTAAACCCTCAATATTCAAAATAAAGAAAAATAAAATGTCTTTATAAATACAGAAAAAAACGAACCTCTGATTCTGAAACACTTGGTTTAAAAGTTTATAATTCACTACATTTCAGGGTGATAACTACTTAGGGTAAATTTTTCAGTCTAGAATAAAACTAAGATGATGTGTTTTTACCTAGAAAGCCAAATGTCATTTGTTAATTATGACAGTAACTCTATTGCATATTTTTTGGTATAACATTAAAACATATTGAGAGCTATCTTATCTACCTTTTAAATGAATTTGAGTTCACTAAAGAGATGAATAAAATACAAGTCAAGGAAAAAGAAAACAGGCTGAGACAAATATATATATTAGAATATAGAAAACTATAAAATGGGCTTAGGGCAAAATAAGAACATTCGCATACCTGTTAATTTGATATGTCCTATTTCATCAAGCAGAATGCTGTAAATCAAAAATCACATTCAACAAAATAGAATAAAATATTTTTATATATAACATTTACATAAAAATGTTCATAAATTTTAAAATACTATATTTCATGTACTAGAAAATATCTAAATTATTAATTTAAAACCCACGGGAAAAATAAAATCAATGGTATCTCATAAAGACTACTTTTTCTAAGTAAGTTTCATATAATTGTATAATTCATATATTTTTTCATATAATATTTAAATAAAATAAAATAGATAAGAGACTTAATGGGAAAAAAGTAGTTATAGAAATACTGGTAACAGGGATTCATAAGGAGAATATAGCTTTACTTTTCTGGCTTCAGGTCTCTATATACAATTCCTAATTGGTGCAGATGATCCAAAGCAAGGGCCAGTTCTGCAAGGTAGAATTTCACATCTTCCTCTGTAAACAGTACCTAGAATACAACAATTTACTATTTGATCCTTCTTTCAATATTGAATTTTTAAAATTTACTTCATTAAAAACCAATAAATAGACAAATCTAGGGACATAAAAATGTAAATAGATGAACATAAACCCTCTAAGAATCCTCTTCAATATTAAATGCTTTAATGTAAATCTTCCTAAAATATATTAGGGAGTTTATGTATCTTCTACACTGAATATACTGCACAGGATGTACCTCTTAACACTATAGTGTGGCAGTACAATTATTAATTTTAGTAAACTACTACAATATGGTCATATTCTCGGGATCTCTGCAGTATATAAGATATTTTGGTCTACCATTGGTAATTCCACTATTTCTACATATTCTCTTTCACTGTCTACTATCACTTCCCAGGTATTTTGCTTTTAGCAGCTCTAATAACCCAAAGCTTCTAATATACCAACACAAGATGTCAAATTACTAACTCCTATATTAAACAAAACACAGGTTTTCTTTTAAAGATTTTATTTACTTATTCATGAGAGACACAGAGAGAGAGGCAGAGACCCAGGCAGAGGGAGAAGCAGGCTCTTCGCAAGGAGCCCGATTTGGGAATCGATCTTGCATCTCGGGATCACGCCCTGAGCCAAAGGCAGATGCTCCACCACTGAGCCACCCAGGCATTCCAAAACACAGTTTTAAACCCAATCTCTGACTTAAAGGGTAGTTCCAGGCCTCTTCTGCTAGTAAAGTACTTAAGTTTAATGACATTTTATTTCTCAATCATTTTGTGCCTGGGAATAGAGTTGCCATGGTGAAGTGAAAAGAGTACTGTAATTAGAATTAACAGTGTAACGTTTGACATGTCACTTAGCCATTGGGCTTTAGTTTCTAAAGCTGTAAAATAAGGATAGTAACACTTGCTATATCTACCTAATAAGGTTGTTTTAAGAATCAAATTAGTTTATGTGGAAAAAAGCTTTGTAAATTATAAAATGCTATGTGTGCAACCATGAGATATAATTATTATAGGTTTACATCTATATTATTCATGAGTGTTAAATTTATACAAAAAATTAGGTCCTACTCAATCATTAGATGTATTTTTTTTCATTAGGTGTAATTTTCAAAATTTATCAAAGGTTTCTGATTGGCAAAACAAGTAACTTGTCTAGAAATTGGTTATTTTCATTACAAAAATCACTGGATTATTAAGAAAACTCAAAATTTGAATGACACATCATTAAATCTTATAACTGACTTGCCCATTTGGAATTATGGATACTGAATTATGTAATACAGACTCAGGTTACTAGTAAAATTGCAGAGAATGAGCAGTTAAAGATAAATTTTGAAACTCTACCTACTTTTAAAAATGATCTATAGAAAAACAAAGATTGGGAGCCTGGGTGGCTCAGCAGTTTAGCACTGCCTTCAGCTCAAGGCGTGATCCTGGGGTCCCGGGATCGAGTCCCACGTCAGGCTCCCTGCATGGAGCCTGCTTCTCCCTCTGCCTGTGTCTCTGCCTCTCTCTCTCTCTCTCTCTCTCTGTGTGTGTCTCTCATGAATAAATAAATAAAAACCTTAAAAAACCTATTAGAAATAAAAAAACAAAGATTATGAATTATCAAAGTTTCAGGTAGTTCATTTGAATATTATAATGGTAAAATTATAAAAATAATTTTCACTTGATACATTATTAAGAATGAAAAAATATTTTTTATTTAACTTCTCAGGATGGCTAATCAAAATTTTCATTTAAACCTAATACATAAGAAAACCATAAACAAAAATCTTTCAAACTCTCAGGAAGAAGCTTTGCCCAGGTTATAGTTTTATGACAAGCATTTTATTTTGTCATGAAGCTGTCTCTGTTAAAAGCCTCATGATAGACACAAGTAAGAAACTTATTAAGTAGCAATTATATGTGAGTAACTTTACATTTATTATGTTATTATAACCTCTCAAACAACCCTATGTTGTAGGTATTATCACCACCTTACATCTGGAAAAAGAGACTCAGAATCAGAATAGCTAGAATAACATAGCTAGGAAGAAGCAGGTCCACAATTTGAATTCAGGAATACTTATCTCTAATAACTACCTCTTCCCCAGAAGTCACTTTTGCCATACGCTGTTTCAATTTGGTTTTAGTTTCACTCCCACCATTAATGCTTCCATATTCACTAATCATCCTATCACAAATGAACCTGAAAGAAAATAATCTAAACCCTAGCACCCTGAAGTAAGCACTGCTAGTTTTTTGTTCTCTGCTTTTCAAATTGTTGTGTATGTATGAGTGCATGTGTGTTTTAACATATTTAAGATCACACTTATACTATTTAGTGGCTTCCTTTTTCCCCACTTAATAACATAAGCATTTTCCCATGTCTTTAAAATTAATTTATAGTTTTCAACACCTGCACAGTATCAACATACAAATTTACTATAATTTACCTAAATGTTCATTTGGATTATTTCCAGCTTTTCATTTTTTAAGTAACTTTGTAATATGCATATATATCTTTTACATTTATGATTATTTCCCCAAAAAAGGATTCCTAAGAAATAAAACAGGAAATACTGGGTCTGTGAAAATAAATAATCTAAGATGTTGACATATAGAATAAAATTATTTTCCAAAAAGTTTACAAAAATTTCTCCTCCCATCAGAAATTTATGAAAGCATTCATCTTACCAAATCCACAATAGTACTGAATATTGCTCTTCAAAAAATATTCTTTTTAATTTGATACACAAAACCGCCACCAATTGTTTTAACTTAAGTTTTGATTCCTAGGCTAAACATTCTTTCCATGTCTTTAGGCCTTTCTATTTTGTAAGTGAATTATCAGTAATAAATTTGTCTATTTTTCATTATTTACTTACTGGTTTTTTTCCATAAGGTATATAAGCCCTTTAAGTATTAAAAATGTCAGTTCCCTATCACATTACTTGTAAATATTTTTGCCATTCTGTGCTTGTTTTTGACATTCAGGAATTCTTAACTTTACGTAGTCAAATTTATATATCATTTCTGTATGATTTTCCTTCATTATTTTAATGATTAAGCAGTAACCTCCATTAAATGGTAAACTACAAATTTGGCTGCATTTTCTTTTACGACAATTGTTTTTCTTGATTTAACTCTTTAAGTAAAATTCATCTTTGTATGTGGTAGAGATGAGAATTTAAAATGAACTTTTTCTGAAATATCTAACTGATTTATCATATAGTATTTACTGAACAATCAATCCCTTTGCCATTAACTTGTGATTCATCCTTTATCATAGAAACATGTGGTAAATCATATATATCAGAATATTTTTGGGTTATACAGTATGTGTCTAAACTTGCATTGATATGCTGTTCTGCTTAAAGCAGTAGCTTTATAAGGTTTTAAACAAGAGGTAAGGTAAGAAGGGGGTGCTATTATCAAAATGTTTTAGTTTTTTCCTTTTCTTTACTTTTCTAGATAGGCTAGTAAAATTATTCTGTCACTTTATTTTTTTTTAAAGGGTTTTTATTTATTTATTTACGATAGTCACAGAGAGAGAGAGAGAGAGAGGCAGAGACACAGGCAGAGGGAGAAGCAGGCTCCATGCACCGGGAGCCCGACGTGGGATTCGATCCCGGGTCTCCAGGATCGCGCCCTGGGCCAAAGGCAGGCGCCAAACCGCTGCGCCACCCAGGGATCCCTTATTCTGTCACTTTAAAACAAACAAATTCCTATTGGGGCTCTGTTTGAAAAAAAATATTATTCATTTATTTGTTTATTAAATATTTTACTTAGTTATTCATGAGAGACATGGGGGGAGGGCAGAGACATAGAGGGAGAAGCAGGCTCCCTGTAGGGAGCCTGATGTGGGACTCTATCCCAAGACCCTAGGATCATGACCTGAACCAAAGGCAGATGCTCAGCCCCTAAGCCACCCCAGGTGCCCTGAAAAAATTTTTTTAAACTTATAAATTAATTCTGGAAAAATTGGGATCTTTACAATTATCAGCCATTCATCCAAATATATTTTCTTAATATTAGCAATGTAAACATGACTTAAGGGTTTTGTGTGTTTGTCTATGTGTGGGGGGTAAGTAGTTTTCAGGGGAGAGAAATTTGGGGGGGTACTTTTCCATTTAAAAAATATATATGATTTATATTATAGTATTCTTTAACACATACAAAAATATACTTTTTAAAGTCTTTTACTAAGGCATAAAGTATATGACCTCACTTTAGATGATGTAACAGTTTTGTTGTATACACAGGTGAAGTATAATAAAAAAAACTTTTATTATTATTAAGCTATCTATAGAAGTAATAAATCATTTTCTAAAAGCCTGTTCAATGAATATACTAATTTATTGTCTTTTGGGAAATGCATTTAAAATGCTTGCTCTTACCTAATACTCCAGACTTAGGAATCAAACTTACTGACTGCATCTCTGTGCAAGTATGGGTTTAGATAGTCCCACATCTAGAATGAAGGTCTCAAGAGCTTAAAAGAAAATTAGAAATGACTACAAGTAAAAACTTCTCAAACACATTCTTGAAACTTCTACACTATAACACAAAAAATCATGGACTTGGGCCTTGTTTCACTGTTGCCATTCTGTGTCTTGAGACCAGCTGTTAACAAGGTCCTTTAAAAACCCTCCTTGGGTTATGGGGTTCTAAATAGACCCTACCATAAACTGAATTCTGTTCTATAATAAACAATATGCCAAGATAATAATGTATATTCATGCATGGCATGTTCTGCACTGGATATAGACAGATACAAGTCAGAGACCTTAGCCATTTAAGCACTGGCTAGCATACTATTCTTTTTTCATAGCAAGTTCCAGAGTTCTGGGAATCAATAATAGATCTCCCATACTCAACATCTTAATTCTGGAAGTGAGATGTTGATACACTATCACCCAATTAAAATGCTATTTCCAGACTACCACTTTAAGACAAAATGAAGTAGACAAGGACAGGATACATTTCCTGCCTGAAAGAAAACACAGTACAAAATCTATGA